ACCTCTTATGGAGGACATCTCATCGTTAGTCCTGCTCTTTTTACATCCAGGTCGACAATCATGCAATTTAGTTCCCGATTTTCCCATGCATGTAAATGTAGTCCGCGGCAGCAGCAGCAGCAGCAGGGAATCCAACTGCCGTTTCTGCGCTAACTGGCGAACGCGCCGACAGTCGGCTCCGTCCAGCCGTTGGAGGGTCCACGACACATATTCCCGGCCGCTACTTGGCCGTTACGAGCAAGCGGAACGTTACGAGCGAGCGGACGTTCCGGCAGGGAAATCGGCAACACGTCGGCCTGTGGCGCGACCCGCGTCCCTCACCGCAACGGGAGCGGGAGCCCAGTCAATAAACGGCATCGTGGGGGGGGCGGTGGGTGGGTGTGGGGGGCAGTGGGGGGTGGGTGTGGGGGAGGCGGGTGGGCTGAGCCACTCATTTGGGTTGAAGGAGTAGGGGTGGATGAGGAAGGTGGAGGGGGCTCCAGTGGGGGGGGGGGGTGTTCAGCAGGGGTGGGGGCAGCAGTTTGGGGTGATTATATGAGGAGCCGTCAGCGGAGGAGACGTGGAGAGAGGAAGGGCACGTCAGGGCGATAAGAGTGATGGGACCGTCGCACTCCTCACAATCTCTCCGCTGATGAATGAACAGCCGAGGCCCAACGGGAGTCCGGGCAGATGTTAGATCATGTGATCTGTAACCCTGGCTGTGCTGCACCGCCACCACGCCTTGTGTGGGGGAGAGAGGACGCGTGGGGTTGTCGCGCACGCACGCGCGTGTGCACAAGTCGACAAATTTTCCTTCATTGTCTCTCTTTGTCTCTCGCTCTCTTAGCGTGCCGCTCGTCCTCCCTCTGTCTTGCAAAGTGGCTCCTTTGTTTTGTCAATATCGTCCCTTCTGTTGAGTGCGCTTGGGGAAAAAAATCATTCAGACAAGTGCACGCGCGGGGGGTAATATAGTCTTAACGCACTCGCTCGCTTAACGCTATAGATTTCTGTCGCCGAGTTTGTGCCTTTTCCAGTAATTGAACTTGACGCCCGACAAAAACTCTTTGTAAGTTGTGCACCGAAGCCGTTGCCACTCAGGCTTTTGAAATACGGCGCTGCATATGATCCTCGACACATCGCCACACCGCCGCTGACTTCGGGCCCAGTTCACGAATTTCACGAGAACGCGTAGACAAAATGGACAAATGCCCGACGGCAGATACTAACACGTAATAACGTGATCGTGTTCTACCGTTGCTTTTCCTGATTTGAATAACCATAACTAAGTTACCAAGAATCTTTCTGAATAATGGCGTGCGTTTAAACAAACTTAAGACGGCACGTCAATTTATTGGGGCTGCTTTGCCAACCGAGTGGATGGATCCGGGGACTGGCTGTCTGTGCCGTCGGATGGAAAACGGTTAACCAACAAAACAGAAAGCGCACTTGTTTTTTGTTCTTTTTTTGTCCCCCGCCGCTCCCTATCATCTAGCGGTTGTTTCAGCAAAGCCACGCTCGTGTGGGTCAGTGCTCCCCGCTGATGGATACTCCAGATGAAGCTTCATTATCGGTAGCCGCTTTATTACCCGGGGCTCTAATCCCCTTCCCTGCCCGCTGCCCGTCCCAGTGAGACAATAACCCGCGGCTCCCTAAATGAACTGCCCAAAACAAACCCAAATTACAAGCCGCACTTAAATGGATTGGAAGAGGCTACTTAAGGCTCAATATTTTTCACCGGCGGAATTCCTGCACAAGAGCCGAGGAGGGAGGGGAGACTGATTATTAGCGCGCTCGTTTGTCGCATGGCTGTCGTGTTGACGCTGTGGCGCAGGTGTGCCGAGTGCCGGGCTTGATGATTAAATTTTAACGGTTTGGGGGGGGGGGGCGGCGGAGGAGGTGGTGGTTGGAGCTAATGGCTCTGTTTGCGCCGTGTCGTCGAGCGAGGGGGGGTTTGGGGCGGCGCGTGACGAGCGGAGGGTACTTCCGCGGTAGTGGGGACGCAGCCGGAGGTCGGGCGGATCGGCGCTGTCCTTCGTCGCTATCATCAGTGGCAGCACTGTTAGTAATTTACCGTTTGGCCATTAGCATTGGTGTAAATTAAAGCCCGGCTTCGTCATTCTAACAATTACACCTTTTGCAACTTGTTAACTGTGCCAATTTGCACAACCGCTGTTTGTTACAATTGACGTCCGTCTGCGTCCCCGCTATTAATGCAGTAGTCGCGACGATAACGGCGAAGTAATACGATGCAGTTTGGAGATAAAGAGTGTGTAAAAGTATAAACGCATCTCCAGACGCTGTAAGGCTCGGTCTACCCATGAGAATTGAATTCAGGTCACCGGGCTCACAGTGCAGTGCACTAACCACTACGACCGTGCCCCTTTCACCAGCCCACACCGACCAGTGTGGTGAAGTATGATCAAACAGCTTCCTTGACGGACACGACATGGGGAGATCTTCATCCCGCAGTTTATTGAAAAAGGGTTGAATAATTCTTATCATTATCGTGATCAGGATAGATTTATTTTTTGTTTGCTATGGTCAGGAGTCGAACCTAGGAAATCGAGATCGTAGTGTTATGCCCTAGCCACTGTGCCACCACACTGCATTTTTTTTTTGCTTGATTAATATTTTGTCACCGTGAAAGAAAGAAGAATCAGGACAATTTGCCCAAGAGGCCTTCGACTTGAATAAGGCCAGTCAGCTGAATATTGATATATTCCTTTTTGTTCCTCAGCGTTATTTTAAAAAGAACACGATTTCCGTTTTTATTTTTGTATCTAACCTTGTTATTTATCACGTTAGTTCACTGAAGCGGTGACATTTTACCACCACTCTCCTGGTTAAGGTCAGTCGAGACAAATAAACGAGGAGCCCTGCTTAGCAGGGGAGCTTGCGGTGATGAAACGGCCGCTTGGCGGTGCTGCCCCTCCCCGTGCCTCGTCACGCGCCTGCCGTTCGAATGCCAAGCGCCCTTTTGGCCCCCCGTGACCTCACAATGAGAACCGGGGTGCAGAGGTCTCTCTTCATTTCGCTTATAAATCGATTCCGCTCGCCAGAGCAAGCTGTTGGTCGGTGTCACGCCTGCGCTGCACACCTCGTAAATCTCTACGGGGACGAGGAAGTGAGCCAGCGAGCCAGTGAGCGCGTGAATTAATGTGTGAGTGAGCTTCCAGGTGAGCGGGCTAGTGTGAGTGAAGCGAATGTGCGAGCGAACGAGCGTGTTGAGTGAATGCGTGAGTGAAGTGAATACGCTAAAGTGTGCGGGCGAGTGAGTGTGCGGGCGAGCGAGTGTGCGTGCGAGCGAGTGTGTTAATGTCGGGATGAGCGAGGGTAGTGAGTGCGTTTGCAGTGATAGTGTGCGGGCGGGCGGAGGGATGTTTTTTTCCAGCTTTTGTGAACCGTCGTGCGGTATTAGGAAGGGAGTTTAACAGCTCGTGAGCGTTGGGATGGGATTTGAGTAGTCGGGCCGGAGGCGCCCAGCCACCAGGCTAAATTGGATAGTGGGCCCCATTTCATTCTTTGCACCAGGGCCCATGCCATCTAGATTAGGGCATGAGATTATATTTGCAAGCTGTGTGATTTTACTTGAATTGGCGTGCATAAACATTAAGTCTTATTTTGATTATTGGTGTAGACGTACTATGTGTGTAACAACAACGGCAACAACAGCAACAGCTGCCATTTGTCACAAAGTGGCGGTGACGTCAGCACAGCGCTTGTGCCAGGTTAGGTGTACTTGAGGCCACGTGAAGTGTCGAAGGCTCGCTGACAAGAGGTCATGGAACAGACCCAGGTGTGGTAGGCTGACGGACCCAAATTATTGGTATACAAACACACATACTGTGAACGTGTGCTTGAATGTGACCACTCACTCTTGAGAGTTTCGAGTCAAAGTGCTCAACGGATTCCCTCATACGCTTGGTGCCACCTGCAGGTGGCCGCTGTCACTGCAGCGGCTAAACAAGTGAGCCTCGCCGAGAGCGGATGGGAGATCCACGGCAGAGGTCGCAACCGAGTACCCGATACCCGTACCCTACCCGATACCCGGCTCATCCGGCTACCCGTACCCGGCCGTACCTGGTGCGATGTGTAAACATTTCCACTGGGGAGACAAATGCGACCAGGTGTGGTGTAAGCCACCCACACCCTCATGTACCATGCCAACCTTCATAGGGGCTCACTAACAGCACTTGTCGCAATAGTCTGTTAAGGCTATTCGGGGGATCTTTGTCTTCTAGCGTATGTGTGTGTGTATTTGTGTCGGTAAGCCTTCGACACTTCACGTGGCCTCAAAGTGCACCTGGCCTGGGCACAGGCGCTGTGGTGACGTCACCGTCACGTAATGGCGAATGGCGGGTATTGGCATATGTGTTTGTGTGGGGAGAGGTATGGGGAGCGGTAGTGATGTGGTTAGCGCACTGCTTTGCTAACCCGGTGACTCATGACCAATAAGTGGCAGATTTTTTAACCAGTCCTGGGCTTCCTCTAGGTCGATACAGCCATAAAATGTACTTCGTGTAGTGTGTTGTCTCAGGAGACAAAGGCAACTAGGCTTGGTGATAACCACACGATTCTTGCATGCCGTGTACCCACCTCACTCAGCGTTCATTTATTGGTCTTTCCTATATCAACAGTAAGACCGAATGTAGAAACCTTGCCTTTTTAACGCTTTCCAAACTAAGGTTTTAAATGTTTACGTGTTACCTCTGTCCATTCATCGATGATAACTCTCGTCAACATGGTCCAGTATGAGCGAACCTGCATTGTAAATGCGTGTCGCTCATCTCGGGACTTTCTCTCTTGAAAACTGGGCAAATTAACCAAAGATTTGCCCAAAGCTTGGAGAGACACACTGGGTCAAGAGGATTGCTTTAAAATAGTCAAATGAATTTGGCTTCACAGCTACCCATTAGCTTCCATGCTGCTAATTAAACACTTTGTAAAAAGACAGGCGCAGTCGCGAGATTTCCTAATTATTGCGTGCGCGTGCTTGCTTGTGAATCTCGCTTGCGCCGCAGGTTGATCAAAATCAAGGAGTGGGTGGACAAGAACGACCCCGGTGCCGTGCTCATCCCCTTCAGCGGCGCGCTTGAGCTCAAACTCCAGGAGATGACGGACGAGGAGAAGGAGAAGTACCTGACCGAGGTCAAGACCACCAGGTGCGATCCCTGGCCCAGGAGTGGAACTGTGTGTCCGGGACCAGCAGGTGGCTGGGCATCCAGTGATTTATATCACGGTTGCAAAGCATAAAGCCTGAAGGCCCATAAAACGCCAGCGGCAACCAGCACTATTAAAGTTGGAATAGATAACAGTTAATACGTTTTCTTGAATTGGGTAAGGTTATAGGAACTTCAGAAAAGTGACGTCGGGAGTGAATTCTAACATGGAGCAGTGTGAGGGAAGAGGCAGAAAGCAAAGTGTTGTGAGCTGCAGTGTATTGGTTGAATATTGAGGGGAAGCCTTTATCATTGGCTGATGATAAAAGTATTATGTTTCCCTTTTAATTCCTGTTTACAAACGAATCTGAAGCGAACACGCTCCAGGGATGGCTTTGACATTGATGCCTGTGCTGTTGGTGTAGGCGTCACGTCATGTTTACAAATCTGCTCACTCTTCTCCTCCCATGTGTGCCCAGCGCTCTGACAAAGATCATCAAGACGGGATACGCGGCCCTGCAGCTCGAGTACTTCTTCACGGCGGGACCCGACGAGGTCAGGGCGTGGACCATACGGGTGAGTCAGCCGTGCCTGGCCAAAGAGAGTGGTACAAAAACAACGACTACAGTTAGAATTGGCGTAGCGTCAAAAATGCAGTCGTGTCTCAAGACGCAGCTGTGAACATAAAGAATAGAAGCCAGTTTGGGTGTCAGGGTAGGGAAACATGGGAGAGAGGAGAGAGGGCAGCACTGCAGCACAACTCAGGTCCAAACAACAATGACGCCAAGCTCCAGTGACAGCCGGGACAGCACCCAATAAGGTCCTGGGGTATCCTTGGGGGGGCAAAGATCTACAATGGGTCCCAGGGCATCCTTGGGGGGGAGGGGAGGGTGGGAGGGGTCCCGGGCCCATTCACCAACGAGTCCCAGAGGAGATCTCATGGGGATTCATTGATTAAAATTGATTCCTGCACTGACCATGCACGCATTGAATTGTACGTGTAAGAATCGATTGTTTTAGAATCACGCTTTTTTTTGTAAATAGTTTACCTTATGCTCTTAATTTTTTTTATATAAAACAACCGAGACGTGGTGTTAAAGAGAGGGTACAAATGATACATTATGAAGGCGAAACAAACAAGATGGTTTAGCCCAGGTACAGAGTACAAGGAAGTACATACAAGACCGTACAAACAAATCAGTACAAACGAAGACAGATGGTAATCCATACATTACAAAGGGCACACATGACACAGACAGTACAAAGAGATGGGTTTACACAAGACAGTGTGGACAAAACAGTGTACAGGGAGTTGAGACTAATCGCACTTCCAATTAGCACAATTGGCTACGTGCGGTATGAAAGAAGTTTAACATATACACTATGGGGACCTCATTTGCCAGTAAAAAATATGATAATTGGTTCTTTACCCTTCTATCTGGCAACAAAACTGACACCTTTTTACAAGGAGTCATGTTTGCATAGACCGCAATACCTGCAGTCATAAATACAAACAAAAGAAATAACTCTGATAATGTGCACTGTCCTTGAAGTTGATTGGTCCACACCCGAGACAGCTTTCCTTCGAGCCTAGTCTGGACCAATCAACTTCAAGGACAGTGCACATTATCAGAGTTATTTCTTTTGTTTGTATTTATGACTGCAGGTATTGCGGTCTATGCAAACATGACTCCTTGTAAAAAGGTGTCAGTTTTGTTGCCAGATAGAAGGGTAAAGAATCAATTATCAAGTTCAACATACATAAATAGATGAGGCTGTGCATACGTAGCAGTTGAAAATACTCAACAGTCGAGACAGATGTTGAGCCATCGTACAAATGAGATGGTGCAAGCAAGAGAAATATTTAATTCGTAATTATAATCGTTATCTCAAATGATGACAACGCATGCAGTCCCTTGGTGTGGGGGTAGGCCGCTGCATGCTTCGTGAGGGAATTATGAACTGTGTTAAAGTTGATGATGATGATGATGTTCGCTTCCTTCCGCTTGCAGAAGGGAACCAAGGCTCCTCAAGCGGCCGGAAAAATCCACACGGACTTTGAGAAGGGATTCATCATGGCCGAAGTCATGAAGTATGACGACTTCAAAGAGGAAGGCTCAGAAAATGCTGTCAAGGTGGGGTTACCTTTTCATCTGGAATATTTAAATATAAGTAACTAGCTTTACTACCCAGCTTCGCCTGAGACTTGGATTCTTGTCTTGGATTAATAGACGGCCTACGTGGAGGGTGGGGGGGGGGTGCGTGACGTCAGCAGGCACACTGCGTGACGCTGCCGCATGCGGGTGACATCACAGATGTGACATCACAGATGTGACGTCACCGCTTACTTGCCGTGCAAGATATATACATTATTGCACCCCCCCCACCCCCCCAAATTACAAAAGTCTATTTTTATACTTTTTGCATTGTGTACAGTCTGGAAGCTACCTACATGCCAAATTTAAAGTTTGTTGCATGTTGGGAAGTATGCTAAACATTTCGGACACACATTCACAAATGTGCCTTTTATATATATAGATAATGTGTCATCCTGAATGTGGGGGTTGACAGTCTTGGATCTCCATATTTTCTTGTCCTTTGTAGCATGTTGCACTTCATCTGTCCTTGAGAAGCAAACAACTTCAGTGTTGTTCAGACACTGATTTATTTGTCTCCAATGCTCGAGTTCGCCAAATCCAATGGCCTTGCTTCCTAACAGAGAAAATTCTCTCTCGGTTGTGAAGAATGCCCATACACGAAACGTCACCTATTACATACATTTTCCTCTTTACAGCAGCGTTATTGACGAATGTTTTGAGTTTTTTTTATCATTTTTGCTTGTGCACCATCGCCAACGCTGTACTACATATTTTTTGCATTGCCAAAAGAATGGCATCCAATTATTGTGCCTCAAGTATTGTACAACGATCAGAGAGCACAGCATCAATGGGACTCTTACCGCTCTATTTTGATATCGCACAATATATGCATGACGACACAGTATTTTTTGTTATAATTTCCCCACAGTTTTATCCCGATTGTCCTATTACAACTCTTCATGTTAGAAAACGGTCCATGGAAGCAGATCTCACAGAGCTACCTCTGAGATCCCTTCAAGTGACTTCCGTCGTGACGCAGTGCTTTAAAGTTACGCACAGTCACAATCCAAATGTTCACCGGTGCTCGCGGTCTCAGATTTCCGACACCATGACAACGCTGCTCTGCAATGCTTTGCGCACTGCTGTGCGTGCAGGGGGCTGGCAAGTACAGGCAGCAGGGACGCAACTACGTCGTCGAGGATGGAGACATCATCTTCTTCAAGTTCAACACGCCGTCGCAGCCTAAGAAGAAGTAACGCGAAGCGGTTCCGCGTGCAGGCCCCGGCGCTCGTGCTCACGAAAGCCCCTGCTTGATCGCTCCAGCTCGCCCGTGCTCACATCCGGCCCTCCGTGACACTAACTTCATGGATTTCAAACTTCACGGACTCAAAATGTGCACGCAAAGCATTTTTATCGACGCTCGGCAGCGTTTTTAAAGGAAATTGCGTGTAACGAGTGTACGCGGTTTTTTTTGTTTGCGTCGTTTACATCGTTGCCAAATTAGTGGCCGATATGCTAGTCACAGGTTTTATTTTGTGAGGGTATATAATTGGTGGCAACTTGTCGGCTTGGCTTAAAGGGACACTTTCCTGTGTTTCTCAGTCCGGCATTGGTACAGCCGTGATAAATAATGAGCGTTTAATTACTAAACCTGACAGTCTACAAAGCATTTCTTAACAAATCTAACATAGTCACACTGGCCATCCTCTCAATTGGCTGCAGTTACCACTGCTGTTATGGGATTTTATTTGTCTCGCAAAAGGGGACATCCAAATGCTATCTCTCTGGGTACACCGAGCAGCGCACAGTGGCTGTAACAATTCGTTGAGCAGCTGAAATGACCCGAGAGGCTCGGAGATTGGGCATCCTTGCATGTGTTGTGGAGATTTGGGGTGTTTGACGAGGCTTGCTGCGAATGTGGGTCAAGATCCGATCGAGGGGAGCCTCGACTTAAAAGATCAGCCCATCTTTTACGCTGGTATATTCACGTGAGCTTCATGCACCTACATTTCACTCGCATTTAACAAAAATGAGACTTTATTCATCATACCTGCCCCAGAAAGTAATGGCATAAATATTGTGTGACATGTCAAAAAATGATGTCAGAAAACGTTTGAAATATACCTTGAGAACTGCAATAAAAAGACGATGCTTTCAGAGAATCTGCAGACTGGAATGGTGCCAACAGGCCAAGCAGCGTACATACAATTTGACGATAATGCTGTCAAGCTGTGCATTCTTGGAGCCCCTCATCTTGAGGGGGCTCATCGAGACAGGGATGACCGCGTCTGGAAATAAAACAGCGATGGAAGTGCGTGCTGTGTCTTGTGCTCATTACATTACTCTGACCTCGATCGTAAAGTGGAGTTGCCACTCGACATGTAACGATTCAATGTCCCTCCCACCCCACAGAGATTCAATCAGTTGTCATGGTTCGTGGTTGCAAATCAGATTCAGCTATTTATTATTTTGTTATCTCCTTTTTACCATTTCATTGGTAGTTTTTAATTTGATATTGTTTCAGTACTGTCTCCTTCCCTCAACCTAATTATAATATTGCCCCATCATTGTCATAATTCGCAGAAATCGTATATAATTATCGAGATCTAGATAACATGCACATAGCATAGTGTAATAATGGATTTTAATCGATGAACCCTTGCTTCATGACATGCATAGTTGCTACTAGATAACCTCCATGCGCCTTTTGGCATCATCTGGTCGAACACCATGTGAGACTAGGCTCTAAGAAAAACTGTCTCGGGTGTGGACCAATCAATTTCAAGGACAGTGCATACATTATCAGAGTTTTCTTTTTGTTTGCATTTTGACCGCAAGTGTTGTGGTTAATGCAAACATGATCCCTTGTATAAAGGTGTCAGTTTTGTTGCCAGATAAATAAAAGGGTAAAAACCTATTACTAAACCTCCATAAAGACAATGTAAAAACTTAGGGAATAATCCTCAGTTTATTTCAGTTGGGCATAAAAGGTACAGAAGGCGTTCTTGATTTGGATCGCAAAAGCCCATTTGTCAAGCCATGTAAGAGCATTAATCACTGTTAAAGCTGCCTTTGTGAAACTAATCTCTTAAATGTTTAATACCGCACGGCTTAAGCGTGCAGTCAAGTAACAGTTCTGACGATTAAGCCCACTCTCTGGAGCAGCGATAAAAGGAGAATATGAACTCTTAAATGCACTGCTTCTCATGCCTCAAGTGGAGCCAGTTTTAATCAACCTCTGCATCTTCAGTGAATGTGCCGAGTGTGCAGTGGCCTAGAGTTTTAATGCCCTGCTAAACACGACATTGAGCCGTCCGCATAGACCGTGTTCTTTGCGGCATACTTAATGTGTTTTTTTTTCATATAAATAAATAGCGACCGGCAAATATTAAAACCCCTGTCTGTTTGCGGGCTCATTCTATTTGACCATGAGGTCTGTCTTGACTGCCATTAGGGTGACTGCCGGGAGCTTAGTGTCACGGGTTTTTAACTGGACAAGCCAATATGAAAGATCTTTTTGGGTAACCTCTATAATGAAATTGATGACAAGCCAGAAGTGTCTGCACAATGGCTGCACAATGAACTAAATAATCATCGTCAGATCTCTGAAGCTAATCAGGTCTAAGCCTGAGTTAGTGCATGCCTATGAGAGACCGCTTTAAATCCCTTTAATTTGCTCCAAAGTATTGGAGATAAAGGAGTCTAATTTTTGCAGGTGTCTGTGTGCCTGGGACCATTGGGAGGGACACGTGGGTGCTTGTGTGGGGTTTTCCTCTTTAGCAGCTTCAAGGCTGGGACAATCCATCATCAGGTCCACAATGTCTCAGCCCATGGCTCTTGAAGAGCACTCATCAAAGACGTGCACTTAGCCAATTGGACTCGCTGGACCACAACGGGGCATACATATGGATATGCAATCTAGTGTGCGTTTGTGCAAAAACGGGCTCCCTCTTTCTGGCTATGTTTCCACTGGAATGGTGCGAGTGAATGTGATGTTCTGCACATCTGCAATGTTTTGCATTACACTTTGCAGAAACGTTCATTTGCATTGGATAACGAATCGACATTTCCGAATTGGGGTCAAGTGGATTTTGGAGAGTTGCACAACTAAAAATGTATCTGAATTACACACGTTTGCATTGGACTTTATTGTCACTTGTTATACAGAGAACTAGTGATGTTTGTTGCTGACCGCTTGAGGTTTTGGACCTTTGTTCAGCAACCATAATTTAAAATATAGGATTAAACATTAGCAATGTCTGTAGGCAATTCACACTGAATCGGTCAAACTGAGATCCAGTGGTCAAGTGGAAAAACACAAATGTAATTGATTTGAAGAGAAAAATAATTTAGATTGTATAAGCGTATACAATAATTCGGCTGAAGGATTACATAATGCCCGCAGTTGGTGAATTTGTATGCATTGTACTGTAAATGGACGTTTGTTAAAAAATGTGCGGTTTTATTGTATTTAATATTTATCCGTCGGGGAGTGTGGCAACCTTGAGCATTTCAAGCACGAAGTTATGGTAAATGTAACGTGGTGTTTCTAGTTCCCCCATAGCAGTGAACATGGAATAGGGGATGTTATTATTATGTTGTATTGCTTCATTCGCTGAAGGGCATTTGCAGGCCAAGGGCACCACTCGTCATCATCGGCCACGATCAATCCGCTGCTGTAAGGAAGGCGTCACCAAGCCGACGTCACTCCTCCATCGTGATACAACGATCCACCCAACACTACGATTCTTGGTTAAACAAAAATATAATCTAAATCTTGGTAGATATGCATCTCTCGTGTCAGGCGCCTCTGTTAACGTTGAGCGCGACGCCCCCCCGTCAATCATCGCTCGCGTCACGTGACCCCCCCCCCCCTCATTCGGAAATCCCCTCGCGCCCCCCCTCCCCCAAGGTCACGTGGTATCCAGCCCGTGCCTCCATCAGCCCCTCCCCCCTCCGGTCACGTGGTCGGAACCACGCCCGGTTATGATCGCGCTCCTCCCCCCCCGATCCACGCGGACTTCCGGCGGTGACGTCACATCTCCAGAACCGGATGTCCGGTCATAGATCACGTGACACTCTAGGCTAATCCTCGTCCGCTAGGCCCGTGTGTAACGCGCGCTTCGGGACTCCTCCGCGGTCGCGTGCTCTTCTAGGCCAAGCCTCCGTCGCCTAGACCCGATCCGCGCGGGTTTGTTCGGCTTACGCCTCGCGCGCAGACCTCACGCGGTAAGCCGGTGCGGCGTGGAAGGTTAGTCCACCCCCCTACAACCGAGCTCTACGGGGCGAGCGTTACCGGACTCGACCAGCTCCGCCCCGCGGCGCGCGCGCGATCACGTGGCTGCTGACACTGTAGGGGCTACGGGCCTTCGTCGCGAGCGCGCATCTCTACAGAGTACAGTATTAGAGCCCCCCCCCACACTACCGCCCCCTGCCCAGCCCCGCCCTCTGGTGGTCACGTGGTGCCCTGGCCGAAGCCTGGTCACTAGGCCCGTGGTTCTTCTCCAAGCTCCGCCCCCTCTCTCTCTCGGTCACGTGACGAGACCAGTCACGGCGGTCACGTGGTGCAGAATCAAATTCAAATCTGCCCCCCCCCAACTCCCCCGCCTCCCCCCGGTCACGTGGTCGTAACGACTTTTCGCGCGTCTCCAACCTATGCGGTTCGTTTGGGGCTCTTATAAAATGTACAATTAGATTTTTAAAAATCGTACAAATTACGGGGGGTGTGGGTGTTGCAGGCCACTACGTGAACCGATGCAAATACACATTAATCATACGCGCTTTATATGTAACGTAAATCGATCCATCGGCAATGCTATTGAGTCAATATATACACACTTTGGTTCTTTCGGTAAAGTCACTTGGTATAAAATGAAATGTATACACACTTCAGCCCTGACCCACGGAGCGTGTAGCTCTGCTACCGTATACTTCGGATAAGTTGCTCCAAAAGGCAGGATTTCGGGTGTATTGATGAAGTTGTACAAATCTGCTGACGCACACTTTCACACAACCGGATAATTAAAATTCAAAATTCGTCACTAACACTGCCTTTAAAAAACACGTGCGACGTTTCGGACAACGGGCCTTCACAGCAAAGAGGTACTGTATTAGAAACTTTTTTAAAAAGTGTGGGGGGGGGAGGGCATGTGCGCGTTGTGTACGGAGACTACGGTACCCCCCCCCTCCTCGCGGGTCACGTGGTGCCGTCAGCAGCGTTCCAGCCGAAGCCCGCGCAGCCAGGCCGCGCCCCTCCCGCGAGCCCCTCCCCCCTCCTGCGAACTTCCCGCCCAAACCCCCCCCACCCGCGTGGTGACGTCAGCAACCGAAGCCTGCGCAGCAAGGCCGCCCCCTCCCCCCTCTCGCGAGCCCCTCCCCCGAGCTTCCCGCCCAAACCCCCCCCACCCGCGTGGTGACGTCAGCAACCGAAGCCTGCGCAGCCAGGCCGCCCCCTCTCGCGAGCCCCTCCCCCCTCTCGCGATCTTCCCGCCCAAACCCCCCCCCACCACCCCCCCCCGCGCGGTCACGTGGTGCACCAGGCGAGGCCCGCGTCGCTAGGCCCGGGCGCGGGCGGTATGAGCGGTAGGCGAACCCCCCTCCTCCTCTCCCCTCCCTCGGACCGGGGAGACGCGGCGGCGGCGGCGGAGAGCTTCGCGGCGCGCACACTCTTCACTCGCTCGCTTATATACACAACACCAGCAACACCACCAGCAGCAGCAGCACCATCACCAGCAAGCAACCACTTACCAAGCACGCACGCGCCTATAACAACGCACGCCCAATAAAACACCAATCGTCGCGCCGGGTTTGAGGTAAACGTTTTGTTTAATAATAATAATACTAACACACGCGTAAAAAGCCGCGAGGTGCATTTTAGATGTGGTGGTGACGGGGTTGATGATGATGATATAATATCGGCGGCGAAATAGAGAGAGAGAGCGAGAGAGAGATTAAGTGGCGGGTATCGTGCGCGTCGCGCCAAAATAACAACGGCGGAGGCGGCGGCGGCGCGAATTTAATAAATAAACGAGTCGGAGGCGAAGGCCATTTTCCCTCGCAGGCAGCGCGACGCGGCCGCGTTGTCGTTTCTCGTCGCGCTTTCGCCACACGAATTCGGGCCGTCGACGACGGCTTTCGGCTTGGTCGCATCGTCGGTAACGTGTCGTGATCGCGGCGGCGTCGTCCGACGTTTTGTCGTGTCGCGTAGAGCCGGAAAAGAGCGAGCAAACCACGACGACCACGACGACGACGACTACACCCAGTGCCGCGGCCGACGGAGAGACGCTGCAGCAGTCGAACCCCGCAGCGAATAGCCAGGTGAGCGAAATCGCGATCCGTTCGCGCGAGGTAAACTGCAACAACCGAGGGGTAAATTTGGTGATGTCGATGCGACGGCGACTGCGGCGGAAGAGTAAAGCGGAGGTCGCGGGGCTGAGGGGGAATCCTCTCCCGTCGATGGCCGTCCCGGCTCTCGGGCCCGGCCCCTCAGCACTCCTCCCTCGCCGCCGTCTCTCCTCCCTCTCGGCCTCTCCTCCCTCCCGCTCGCCCGCCCACCCACTCACCCGTCCCGTGTGTCTCTCCTCCCTCTCTCCTTTCTCTCCTCTCCTCTCTCATCCATGCCTGCCCTGAACACCGCCCCCCTCGGCCGCACCGCCCCCCCTCGCACCGCCCCCCTATTCCCGAAAAACCGCCCCCCACGACCTCGCGTGGCCCTGCGATGATCCATGCCCCTCCGTCTGAAATCCCATGTGGGCCCGCGCCTTTTCCTTCTCAATCTTCCTCCTCCGTCGTCTTCTTCTCCCCCCCCCCCCCTCCTGGCAGGCCCAGGACACGCAGGCCTCGCCTCTGGCACTCCTCGCGGCCACGTGCAGCAGGATCGAGACGCCCCCGAGTGAGGCGGAAGCGGCCCAGGCGCAGGTGCAGCAGGTGCAGCCGGGAGCTCTGAGGATTGTGGCCGGCCCAGGCCAAACGCTTCTGCACGCGCTGGAGCTCACTCAGCTCGCCGCGACGCCCAATGGGTGGCAGATCATTGCCTCCCCGACCTCGGCCGGGACGGCTCCTGCGTCGTCGTCGTCGGCGGTGGCGGACAGCGGCAGCACCACTGACGTGCAGGCCTCGTCCGGCGTGGTGCAGGTAGCGTCGGGCCAGAGCGGCACCGAATCGATGCTCAAAATCGGCCCGAGCGGGCAGCTGGTGTCGGTGACGCAGCAGCAGTCCCAGCAGCAGGCGCAACAGCAGGCGCAACAGCAACAGCAGCCACAGTTTGTGCAGTATCAGGTCCTGCCACAGCTGCAGACAATAGATGGCCAGCAGATTCAGATAATGCAGCAAGATAGTCAGATACAGCTCGTGCCGGTGAGCCAGACACAGACCCAATCGACCCAAGGCGGCTCTGGTCAGCAGCCTGTGCAAATCAGGCCGGCAGGAACGAGCTCCGCGGGTGGTACGGCCACCACGGCCACCTTTCCCGTGCAGATCCAGGGCCAGATTGGCCATGGCTCGCAGCAGATGCAGCTCATCAACTTGCCGGTCGGCGGTAGCAACAACCTGACTTTCACGTTGCCGCTGTCACTGGGCGGAAGCCCCGCTCAGAACGTGACGGTCGTCACTGGGGCCACTTCGGAGCAACAGGCAGGTGGCGATGCTGGCGTCAGTAGCAGCGCCGCTACCTCGGAGGGTGGCAGCTCGTCGGCCATCTACACCACGGCTTCGGGCACCTCGCCGCACGTCACCATCTCGTCCATTGACTGCGTGACGCCCATTTCGACCGCCTCGCAGGGCCAGCAGCAGGTGCAGTTGCAGAACCAGTATCATCTGCAGCAGCCCTTCCAGCAGCAGCAGGTGCAGATGGTGAGCGGGTTGAGTCCACAGATGCTTCAGGCCGCGCTGCAGGCCGCCTCGCTGTCTGCGCAGTCGCAAGATCAGGGCCAGCAGCCGTCCACCTTCCTGATCCGCACCCCCACCATTTTGCCATCGGGGCAGATCGGCTGGCAGACCATCCAAGTGCAGAATATACAGGTGAGCTGAAGCAAGCTGCTATTATTATGGTGCAACGCTGGCTGAATGATAGGGGTGTTGGTGAGGGAATATGCACACAACGTGGTATGTAACCACTTTCTTGCTTCCTGATGCAGACCAGTTGGCACACCAACTCATGCCACGCAAGCAGTAGTCACTTAAGTTTCCAGTTAGTTAAAAGGACTTGGAAAGCAATTGGATGGATAAGATATCCATTACAAAAAATTTCCATGAGACTAGGCACATTTACACCGTTTTTATTTATAATTACTCTTTGGTTATTTCGGTAAAGTCACGTAGAAGGAAAGTAAATTAAATAATAGAGTACGACGTTTCGATTGCAACACAAGCAATCGTCGTCAGGTAGAAATATATTTGAGAGAGAAACAAAACACAGACACCACGCAGACAGAGACAACACACAGACTCAAATTTAGTTCTACCTAATGACGATTGCTTGTGTTGCAATCGAAACGTCGTATTCTATTATTTAATTTATTTTCTTTCTACGTGACTTCACCGAAAAAACCAAAGTAATTCCTGCAGTCACGAAAGCGTCAAATCAAATTTATAATTAATTAAGCAAAATGTAGGATAATTGGAGTAGCTTCTACCTCTACTTAAGAACCCAGAAGGTGTCAGTTGTTTACTTGGTTGATAAGGCTACAGCACCAATTTAAAAGTGTGATTAGGGGAGTTTGTGTGTCTGTAAGCCTACAAGTACACTGGCATATTTAAAAAGCGTATCTGGTAGCACATTGTGTTCTTATAGTAAGCAGTTTGGTGTGCTCACTGCCTGGTAAACATCACCACAGCGAATGCTTCAACGTTTTACCAACAAGCATTGCTCACCTGAGCAGGATTCACCCAACCCTGACACCCCCTATCCCTTCATCCACCCATCATACCATTGCACGGGGTGGTTGACCGTTATCGCCATGGTAACTTGCACACCATTGGCTGGGAGGCACAGCTGGCCCCTCAGGTGTTGGGGTTGGTGAGGATTTGAAGAGCGGGTGGCCAATGAGGGTGTGAGGGTCTGGCGGCACAGCTGCACCCCCGAACTGCATGCTTACTCCAGAATGAGGCTTGGGCAGGAAGGGCGGGAAGGTGCTTTGAAGTTGAGAGTTGCAGCCCCCCACTCGCCCCCAATGCTGCTTGACCTAAGTTAGAAAACAAGCATATGACCCGATAGTGACCTCTACACCCCCAGGGCCACATGCAGGAAATGAGCAGGACTTGTTGAAACGCTTGGGGACCGTGGGGGGAGGGTCGCACTGCAAAGATGTCCAAAGTTACTGCATATGTTTTATTCACTTAGGGTTTTTTTGGCAAATGTTTAAAATGACAAAATGTCGGCTTGGGGTGAATTATTATAAAGTATTTCCATCGCTTCCTCATAGTTTAACTTAATACATTTAAATTAGTTTTTTCTTCCCAAATGCAATTTTGTGCTTTTATGGAAATGAGTACACATCATTATTTGGGCAGATAATTGCGAGTTCTTGGGGAAAAATACTTCCAACTCTTAGTTTACCAAGTAATAAACAGGGCTTTCTTGCGCCCATTTTTTTCACTATCGGCAAACTTTTTATGAGAGCAGCACTGCCTTGGTATGTGACCTTTGCAAGTTTTTTTCTCACGTCTTTAGTCAGTGGTCGTACTTATCAAGCACAAACATGCCAAGGCAAATAGCCTTCTTGTGCTTCAGCATAACAAGGATGACCTATGCATGCAGTGACTGGAGGTTCATTGCCGATGATTGATAATAAAATATTTGTGCAACTCTGCATTGTGTAAGACCAAACGGAGGCTTTCAGTTTGAACTTGTGAAATGGATCCAGTTTAATTGTGCCGCTTTGGGCCATTGCCTTAATTGATGGGTCTGTTTTAGAAGGTCACGTGACATGAGATGTTGATGTTCCTTCTCTGATGCTGTTTGGCTAATGAAGCATACTTCTTTCACTTTAATGTGCTATACTTTTTAATGAAATTTGTCGAGCTTAAATTACTAGGAAAAACAGTTTCCACTCAATTTGGAAGTGCAGCATTAGTTAAAATGTAATGTATTATCCATAAATGTGTGCATGTTTCCTTACATTTTAGCTTTTAAGGCAAACTTTTGTTTAAAAAAAATTGCCCAAGACCTCATTGTAAACCTATGTGTGTGGACTTTGGCTCATCCCTTTTATACACGCAAGTGTACTGTTACTTTAAACCAAGGTTATTTTGAGACTTTTGCAGAAGAATTCACGGCAATAAATTAAATAGGTCATTGCTTCGAATCCACGATTATAGAATGATTTATCCAGCTTTGCCATTCAGGGTTCTGTTTACCCATCCTTTGTTCCAAATAAATTATAATTGCCCAATACAAGCAATGTAAAGATTCATCAATTATCATCAATGATTGTGGCTCATGAGAATGCATTAGTCATAAATAATGTATTCTTCCCAATTCATATACGTTTTCGCCCTAAAATATGGCTGTATATGTTGATACAATAAAAGATTATACACGTACCACAATAGAAAAAAAACATGTGTTTGTAACCACAGTTGAAGACCTCAAGTTGTGAGAGTTAATTTCACTTTTTACCCTACTACGTGTAGCCCAATATATCTTGTCCTGTTAAAATGCAGTGTCAATGAAGATGGTGTTGTGGATTTTATATTTGTGACTCCATAGACCCGGTCATCAGTAGTAGCTGCTTTGCGAGTAAGCAGCAATTCCATTGTCTGGCATGTGCGTGCATTTATGTCTTGTCCCACAGGGCCTCCCCATTAGTGGTGGTGGTGGGCAGGCCATTGCACTGGCGCCCGTTCAGGCCACAGCCCAGACTGGCGCCGGTACAGCTCCGCAGCAGAAGTTTGTGCAGACGGTGGTGCCTGTCGGTGGGGCTACCACCACCACGGGTACGTCACAAGCATTGGTGAACTCGCTGGGCACTGTCGGGATCCAACTGCAGGGGACGCAAGTGTCTACTGCTACAGGTATTTTATCACCTGTGGGTGTTTTAATTGCATAGAACTCTAGGAAATTCTGTGCATATGGTCAATGCAGTGCAGGAATTTATGGTGTTAACATTGTAAAGTACAGTTTGATGTAAGCGTGTGCATGGAACTGTATTGTTCACACAGCACCATGATCCCGGTTATCTATTTTTTATGGCTGTGCTGCACCCGCACCATTGGCTTTTGGTATCTGGACTTAGCCTTCAACTACTATAGGTCGGACTTGGCCTTAAACAAGTCTCTGGTGTAGTGTCAAAATCAGCACTGGAGTGACAAAGGTGGTAAGGCACTGCTGACTAACCTCACCCTTTATGTAAATTATCATAAACTATTCTTAAAACATGTTTTAAGGGCTCATTTATGCAATTTAGGTTTTAAATTGTAAGAGGCTTTCTGAAAAGATAATGCCATTGATGCGCACACACTTTTTTGTAATTCACAACAGCGGCCCACAGTTTTGGCAACGGTAATTTTTGTCAACTTTCACAAAAATGCCTGCATGAACAAGCGCGTGAAATTTGGTCTACGCCACGCAGGCCAGACGCTGACACAGGACGGCGGCTATCCCAAGTGGCAGTTGAGCTCGCAGCCTGTGACCATATCCGGCGGACAAGGCGGGACCAGCATTTTTGCGCTGGACGCCTCCCAGCTGGGACAGCTGGCGCTGGCAGACGAGAGCGGCGGCGGCGGAGGTGGCGTCAGCGGAGATGCGGTTGAGGGAGAGGGAAAGCGGCTGCGGCGGGTGCCTTGCATGTGCCCAAACTGCAGGGACAGCGAGGGCAAGTGAGTTTGGGGGGGGGGGAGTTGGAGGGCGTGGTTGCTTAAAAATGACGGCTCACATTTCCACCACACCATTCGTTGAAGGAGAACGCCAAGGTGCCCTCCCCACCCTCACTTTAACAAAATGCAGTTTTCTATCTCATTCTTGACCGCCTTAACTGCTGATAGCGATGATGACGGTGGTTCCTTGTTCGTGCCTCTTGAGAATGCCGCTGTCTGTTGCTTTGTTCCAGGACAAAACATTCTCGAACATTTGCTGTCTATCCTGTCTTGTGGCTTTTGTACTGTCCTTCCAGTGCTCGTGGCTGCCACTGTTTGCGCCGTGTCCTGCCTACAACATTTTCTTAATTATCAATATGTCTAATGTGCATTCCTCATTCTGTTTAATGCAATTCAAAGGGTGCGTCTTTTTACACTCTTTAAGCTTTTCCATTTTCTTTGGCATTCATGGTTTTGATCTATGTCAACGGCAGGTAATGTCCACTAGTCTTTAGGCACATGTGTATGTTGCTTTTCATTATCAAAACACTTCCAATTCATCTGTCTGCTTCTTTATCATCATTTTGATCTTGATTCATCTTTAAAAACTGATCTAGATATACATATTCTGCTATTTTCCAGTTGTAACTTGTTTAGCTCATTAACCTTTCACCCAACTTTGCAAACAGTTAAGTTAAATAATTTCCTTTTCAAAAATTGCCATTGGTTATAATGAATATTAGATGGTTAATACACAATTTAAATACTTCTCTAGTGAATAATTCCTGAATATATATATAAAAAATGGAGAAAATACAAATTTTAATACTTGGCCTGTAAACATATGCGTATAATCTATTTACGAAAATTCGAGAACAGAGTGATGGTTAATTACAATAACGACCACGAGATGAAAGATATTTTTAGCAAAGGCCTTTGCTGTTGACCACAGTGCTATCAGATCAGATTCTATCAAAGACATGCATGTGAAAACACTTCTGTAGACTATACAAAAGCTTTTGTAGACTCTGAAATGGCATTTGGTTCAGCGGAGATTGATGGAGTCTTCCAAACTCTCGCAAACCAAGGCACTGTTAAACCATATACATTGTGAAAAGGCTAAATAGTTTTGAGACTGTGATTGCATGAAGTAGCAAAATACAATTAGAAGAAAAGTTTGGCATGCAGGCTGTCATAAATGGCAACGCTAAATTTACCGTTTCAAAGCTGGATTTCAATATATTTGTGCCATCTTCTGCTGTATAAACGTGTTTTGCTCACAATTTAAATTGTAGGGTCACCGGAGAAGCCGGACAGAAAAAGCAGCACATCTGCCACATCACAGGCTGTAGCAAGGTGTACGGCAAGACGTCGCACCTGCGTGCTCATCTGCGCTGGCACTCGGGCGAACGGCCTTTCGTGTGCACCTGGTTACACTGTGGCAAGCGTTTCACGCGCTCCGATGAGCTGCAGCGGCACAAGAGGACGCACACAGGTGAGGTGTCGTGCTGCTGGGCTGTGTGGTGTAGCAGAGCGAGCATGGCCCACTACCTTATGCTACTTTTGTTTATTCGTTTTTACAAATATAACACGAAAGCAAAAAGTATAGGTGTATCCATTTATAGATACCCCACAAGTGGAGGAAGAAAAGAAAACATTTAATTTCTGAACCTCCACATGTCAATGTGACTACACAGTAATCTCTATAATCAAACTAGTCCCTTCCGAGGGCTGTCCCGCAGGCGCTACACCGCCACCACCGCACTCGAGGCATTAAGCAGTGACATGGCTGAGCGGTAGCCTATTATTCACCACTTGTTGCAGAGGTTCTTGGCTTGAATCTAACGGCCACCCTGATTAATTATTGCTGCAGGTGTAATAACCGTAACAAGGGCTGTCTGCTGAGCAGTGGACATAAAAATATCCCCTCATGTCATTCACAAGTGGAGCATTGTGTGCCAGTGACATGGTGTACAATTTACATTTTTCATAATTACTATTTTTAGCATTTGGCAACCCCTACTGGCAGACTAGTATTCCAGATCACTCTTGCAAATGAGAATATCCTGGTCTCTTTGAGTTCCCACCTGGTTGAAGACATGAAACCTCAAACACGACTTCTTCCTCCCCACACCACCACTTTTCTCCTCAGGCGAGAAGAAGTTCATCTGCTCCGAGTGCTCGAAGCGCTTCATGCGGAGCGACCACCTGTCCAAGCACATGAAGACCCACTCGGCCAAGCGCGTCGGCATCTCCGGTGACGCCGACTTGGACCCCGAGGCCAAAGGCGACACGGAGGTGGAGGGCGACGACGGCAGCCGCCCCACGACCGTCGGCGACATCCTGGCGGCCGCCGGGCTGGTGACGCTCACGACCGTGCCGGCCGAGCTCATGATCGCCACCTCCGTGGCCACCACGCCCGAGTCGAGTCACGACCCCACCAATGGCGGCGGCATGTCGGGCACGGACGGCTGAGCTGGGGAGGGGGGCGGGGGAGCGGGTGGGCGGGCAGCGCGCGATGCCACGGGGCTGGCGGGGGGCAGGGAGGGGAAGGGGGTTGGGGGGGTCTGCGGAGGCGCGAGGAGCGATTGGGTTCAAACGATAGTCGGTGCTCGCTCACTCGCTGGCAACATACGTCCGTCAGTACAGATCGGTATGTGAAAAGTTAACGAACATTCCCACGGCGACGCGTCCTGTTCGTGGCGAGTGCGCAGCGCAAGCTGCCCAGTTTAACCCTACTCCGGTAAAAATAAATCGGTCAATAAATTACACCTTTAGTAGTTCACCTCCGCTGTTTGCGCACAGTAACAACACGTGCAGGTTATGACATTCGGAGACAATGTTCTGAAATACTCTGCAGTGGTTGCGTTACGGTTGGCCTCGGTTGTGTTGTGTGTTTTGGAGATGCATTTTGCAGGAGCAGTCCCTCCAATTTCCAAAAACACTTAGCCGTGTTTTTCAAACTAGAGTTGTTAACTCTTAAATGTATCTTGCATTTAGATAAATTGTTCAGTAATAAGAGCCTCTTGTCAGTTTTGAACCTGAGCGCACATTGGCCCTCCGTAATTCTAGCAGCGACTCCAAAACCCAAGGAAGTTTTGTGCTCAGAAGTTTGTGCTTCCTATGCCGTCTCGCCAGGTGTCAGGGTGTCACTCTCGTGGTCCCTGAACAGGTTGATTTTTGCATTAATATTGTTAGTTTAAGTTCCCTTTGTGTTTTATTTACCTTTTTTAGTATAATTTTGTTAAGTTGCTGTATTTTATTTCATTGGTATCTTTAATCACAAAACCCCCTGTTGCTCTCAAATTGCCCACACTTCCACAGTAGACGTGTAACGAATATTTTTCTGTCTCCGTAGGTTGTCACGATCATATGTGCAGTCCTTTTCACTTGTAGTCGATGCTTTATGACCATTCATATTGGATAAAACAAGCAAACACGTAATATGTCATAAAACTGCTACTTTAGTGAGCTTATTCATAAAATAAAAGGTTTAAAAGACGTGTTTTTATGCTCTCGCTGAGAGTCCAGGAAGATCTTGACATTTCAGTTGACTGGCCTTATTCAGCAAATACTGAGGTTTACATCGTCATATTTGCCATTAGTGATGTTCGGTGGTAGGGTGGTATTAGATTACGGACCCCTGGGCTTCAAAAAGTCGTTATGTTTTGAAAAGTGTAAAATACATTCTAAAAGTAAATATGCAGATTGAGTGTGTAATGAGCCCTCATGTTAACAACTTAAATTGACTGACGTGCATTGATTTTTGCCACGTACCCACGTCTACACATTTGGCATTTTAAAACAATTGCATTCCACAGCCTCATTCACACACGTGTAGGATGCACGGATACACTCACTATGCAGGACTGCTTTTAAAAAAGCATATTCACATTGACAGTCATAAAATACAACAGGTTTAATTAGTCACATTTTGCCAACTTTTCAGATGTCCACACAATGTATAACTAAAGTGTAATTATTTTCTGAATCTGCAAATTTACCTACAGAATGCATTCAAACGGCTTTCAAATTCTGATGACTAAATGCACCCCAGTCAGTAGGTTAATTCATCAGCTGTCACCCGCCCCCCACCCAACTTCAACTATCAGGACTATCTTGATTTGAAGCTTTCGTGACTGCAGAAATCCATACTCTTTGGTTCTTTCTGTAAAGTCACGTAGGTAGAAAATAAATCACGACGTTTTGATCGCAACACAAGCGGTCGTCTTCAGGCAGAAAAAATATAATCCAGCAAAGGAACTGCTGAACAGGACTTTAAATTTTGTAAAACTGAGTATTTACCAAAGGACAGTCGACTGAACACCAATAAAAACCTGATACAATTCGACTCGTAAGACGTATAACATTCCGCATCTGTGTGCGGAATGCACCGTGCTCTCTCAGCAGGGTATGAATCCGATGCGCTGCGTACGTTACTGGCAAAGTAGTGGGTTTGCTTCTTTTTTTTACTTTGGTTTTGGTAAATTCCATGGTTCTGTTTATATGTATGTACTGTCAGGCATGGTGTTTGGGTAGGCTTGTTAAGTCCGGGAGCAATCGTGATGCCTCCTCTGCATGTTGTGGGATGTTGGGATTTTCACCCGTCTTACACCTTGGCGCGTCGGTTCCTGCTCACAAGCTACAGAGTGATAGCTTCTCCTACGTGCATTACCACTGCGGTAGCGAGATCTCCACGTGTAATTTAGCGACTGACATAGCATAATGCGCCATCACCCAGGATTTTAAAATAAAAGTGGCAACGGCAAAGGTGTAAATTAAGAAATTCCGACTGAAAAGTAAGCCTTAACCAAACGTAACGTAACATTTTAAATGCTGTTCAATAATGGTTATTTTGTAATAATGAAAGTGCGCAAGGCCTTAAAGTATAACTTTATATATCTCCATGAGGATTCTCTTGCAGGATACGTAGTGTAGTGTTCCATTAGTTTTAAAATTGATTGGGATGTTGGAATGCTTTTTTTAAATGTCGCTTTATATCAAGTTTGACGGCTCAGTGTATTTTCTATCGAAATAATTGTCGTGACCTGTTTCCCCACTGAGCAAAGTACTAAGCCTGGATGGGACGTTGGGTTTTACACTTGTGCAGCGGCATTTCAAGTAATTGTTTTGGATTTGTAAAGGCTTAAGTCATGATGTTTTAAAACCATTCTCTGTAAATGTGCCCTGTTTTATTAACTCTTCGCATATGTACCTTTACGTATAATGTATGCCCTCTTTTTTTAAGAAAAAAAAGTTTTTTGTATAAGGTGTGAGCATTTGAAATTCAGAACATTGCTTGTACTTTTAAATTATATACAAGATTCTGTAATTTTATGTTTTTGGGACAATTCAATTTATATTCTGCCAAAAAAGGATTATGCAAAGAAAATAATTAGAAAAACATACTCCAGCCGTTGTAATTTTGACATTTTTATTTTTCTTTGTTTTGGGGATAAAGCAAATTTAATCTCACCCTAAAGCAGCCGAAAGGCAGCGTTCATTCTTCTATGCGTCCCATCCCACAGCCTTATGCTGCGCTCTGCAGCGGGCTCAGCTACAGCATTTTATTGCAACCCGATTTTGTTTTATTAATCTCATAATGGGAATGAATGTACCCCATGCATTTATTTGGTTTGACATGGTTTGGGGTGTGTGTGCCAGATGCACTGGAGCTGTTATTTTGCCAAATAGCAAACTCTGGAAGGAGCTTTGCTTAGATGATTTGTGCACAGCACATCACAAGTCGTCCTGGAGCCCATGTTCTCGTGGAAGGGTCTAGATCAATGTCCTGGGATCACCACCAGTGCACACACATTATACCTATCACATGGCCAAATCCGGCCAGGTAGTTCAGAATATTGCCATTTTATATCCTGTTTGGAGGTTGACTTGGTCCCTGATCCATCTGGAGTTGATCAAATAAGTACCACTGTGGGGAATTCAACAGTTGATGGACTTAAGGGCTGTGAACAGGAGATGGGTACCACCTCAATGTTCATTTGAGCAGGTAATTATTTTCAGCCAGGCCTCACGCTCAAGAAAAAATACCTCTTGAACCACTATCAAGTTTATCTTCAGCTAGATTCCATCACCTGCCCCCTCCATTTCCACTGGCTCCGCATCATCAGCAAAGTCGGCGACAAGATTGCGGGGCCTTCTCTGGTGGTCAACTCTCTTCGCGCATGTCGCCCTGCACTGCAGCTTGTGAGAGTACGCCCCACCGTGCAATTCAACCTCCGCTCTACACCAAGGACCAGGGCCGTTACTGACTTGCATCATTTCTCTGTGGTAGCTTCCACTTTTGGAACCACCTCCCACTGCACATTTATCCAACCTACATCTACTTTTAACAGACACTTAAAGGGGCCCACCTTTCATCTGGCTTTCGAGTGACACCGAGCTTGGCGCCGTGGTTCGGTCACGTTCATTTGTATGATATATTTTGCGTGTTATAAATTGATTATCATAAGGCTATAGAAACCAGTGGTGTATGAATTCTGCAAATGCGGAGCTGAAATGGCTGGATAATGTTGGAAACATAATCAGAAAAGGGAAGTTGAGTTTTAAAACAAATAAAATTACCTCGACTCGCATTAATTTAATCCATGTCAGATGAAGTCGGACAATCCGTGGTGTTTCGTAAGAGTTTTGGAAGTGGAGCTAAAATGGCAGGTAAGTGTTTCAGACTTGTTCATAAATATGATTTTGAGATGGATTGGACACGTGCCAGACAGAGGGCAGGTTTCCCCGAGATGCATTGAGCCCCCCTGAGGTCACTGCGACCGGGAAGAAAACCTGAACGTGCAAGGCGCCATGGAGCTGCAAGCAGACCCAGCAAGTCTTGACCAGACGGGTGACGTGAAACTTGGGATCAAACCCCTCGGGGATGTCGGGTGCCGCCTGCAACATTTTCCGGTGGAGGTAGAAACTGGCGGTGAGGGTGCGGTGGCAACGGACGCATTGACCCTCGACAACCACGGTGTGAGCGGCGGCGGGGGGTGTCTTGAAATGGACGCGATGGGGAGAGCGGTGGCGATCGGATGGCGAGCGTCTCTGCAGTGTCGGGGTTTTTTTTGTCACCGTTCAACCGTGGCCTTTCGTGAGCCGGCGCCTTACATAGAATGCGAAAAGTCTCCACTGCAGGAGGAACGTTAAGAGTTTTATGTAGGTCGTGCCACGGAGCTGCCGGAATGGGACATAATCATTTCGGCCAAATTCTAATTATTGCCATTTACTTAACCAGGTGACACCATTGAGGGTTAAATCATTACCCTGAGATTTTACGAAATGTCATATCTGCGTGCTATTCAGTTCAACAATGGGTACTTTTATCAACATTTTTCCGTACAGTAGTGTCTCTAAAGACTGCAAAGGTGACTAATCGTACAACAGCGGGAGGTTCTTGCACCATTTTATGCGTGGGCCATGAACATAATAATCTTATGAATCTGTGGCAGTCCACCCATACTCCCCATGAAGATTATTTGAGCAGGAGATATGAAAACCGCAGTTACAATGGGGACCTTTTTTTACAGGAACGATCACTTTCACAAGATTCCTGCGACGGTATAGTCAAAACGTACACACGAATGCGTACTAATTGTTTAACAAAGAATTTTTAAGAAATTTGTTTTATTTGTTTAACCACTGATGGATGAATGTCTTCCCCATGCTGCTTCGGTCTGGAAAGTTTATTTGACTTCACATGTCACAGTTGTCAATGTGGGGTTGGCGAACGGATACCAAATTCAGTGTTCATTCGTTTTATTTCTCAAATTAGCGATTTTATTAAAAGCAAGTTTGCAACGTTACGGTTTTGTTTTTATATTACTCAAGACTAGCACAAATTCCTGTTTTGTTTTAATGGATTTATTACTGAATGAGAATTAATTAATTTGCAAAACTTAAGTCCATTTTCCCACTTTCCATTGTAAAATCCGATATGCGCAGCTCGCCAAGTGAAGCACGAACACTCGCCCGTAAGCCAGACGAATATTAAATACCCGCAAAACCTGCCCGTAAGATGCCGCGGTGGCGAGGAGATGTTACCGTCCTCGTCTGACATACAATAGGTCGTGGGTTCGATCCCGACCCTAACGCCTGTATATTTGGAGTTTGCGTGTTCTCCCCCTGGTCGCGTGCATTTCCCTCCGGGTGCTCCGGTTTTTTCCACCACGCTTAGAATCAACATCACGCGGTTTAGACTTTTGCCGCCGTACATTTCCACATGATAAGCCACTTCGTTGAGCCATTATTTGTGGCCAGTGGTTTCTGAAAAAGAGCTACATAGCTCAGTGGGTCTTACCTGGTAAATAAAAAATAGTTCGTTCAATTAAAGCTGCACTTGCCAATACATTAAATACCTATAATGCCTTCCCACAAGACGCTGTTTCTTACCAACACGACATACCTGGATCGAACCCTAAACACTCACTTTCTTACAATATGGTATACGCCATAGGTCTAAGTTTCTTGTGGAAGCTGGGAGGCAGACGCCCTCGCATGCTCAGGAGCCCATTTAGTGGCTGTCATAGCTCATCTGGCTTCAGGCAGAGAGGGTGTGGGGGAATGGGGGTGGGGTCGCAGGGAGACCTGGGAACCCTGATTGATGGCCCTGCCGATCTTTGCCAAATGGAGACTCGTGGAGGATGGATGTGAGCCTCGTGCCCACAGTGCTTTGTCACGCCGAGAATATCCAGCACATCGAAATCGACTGTCGTTTATTTCATGCCTTCCAGTTCGGTTATTTATTTACTGCCTCCGTGTTATTTATCTGCGAGCTTATTTATGTGCGTCCCTTGCAACTGCGATCGCTCGTTAATTCCCTAACTTTGTTGTGTTTATGTAGCGTCTGTATTATTCCCCGCAGCTTGAGTATCTGTAAAGCGGATTGATGTGTGTAGTCCAAAGCGTTACTGCCGTATGTTGTGCTAACTAATGCATTTGTCTTTGTGTTAATGCTTATCATCCACAAGCACTCTGGAGGAGCAGCATTGCAACCATTTCACGGCCAAAGCACCCAGCATTTCACTCGGCCTCATTGGATCTCGGAAGCTTAGCGGAATTTAGCCCGTTAATTGCATCTACGAGTGGCCACCAGTACATGCCAGGCGTTGGAGGCAAGGGGCTGCAAAAGTAGCAGGGAGATGGACTGGTGATGGGCTGAGTCCATATAAGAGTCACTTTTTTGGATCTGTGAATTAAATCTACAGGGCGGTCCAGATGTCTTGTGACCCCCAATTAATTGACCCCATAAAACATTTTCTTCTCAGTTTAATACGTCGTAGGCTTTCACGACCACTATTATCCATAGAGTGTGTTGGGTTAGATCGCGTAAATATTAATTTGTTAAACCCCCCACCACCCGACACCGGTGTGCATATTCATTTCTGTTTTAAGTAAACCCATAATTTTTTTAGAGAATGAAATAGGGGTGACAAGACATCTGGACCTCCCTGTACAAAAATGTGAATGTTACATCTGGTATGCGTGCGTTCCTGCAAGTGCACTGGTTCCTCCCACTTGAATCCCAACACTCGTTAAAGTCATTGGCCAAACATCTCAATTCAGGGCCCTCCACAATATGACGAGGTGTGTGTCTATGCTTCCCTGCGGAGAGGGAATTATTATTCACCATTACTAGCACGGGGTGGAACGGTAGAGCACTGGTTTGTGCACTACGCTACAAACCCGGCAACCTGCTTTAAATTCCCAGCTACGACTGACATCAATGGCAAGTGACTCCGATTAGCACGGTTGGCTATGTACGGCGCGAAAGAAGTTGCACACATGTTATTCCTCGACTTACGAACACAATTCATTCCGGTGCCCCGTAAGTCTACCGGTTCGTAAGTCGGAACACAATGTACCTATTTTAATGCTTACACCCAGAAGCACTCCCAGCACGAGGCTGACTCATTACATCTCGCCGAGGATCGCTCAGCTGAACAAAATAGGTCCACGGTTCAATTTGCAAATGCGACTTCACCTTTGAGTCGATGTTTGAAGAAAATAGTTCATGGAAGCTGGTTCGTAAGTGCGGGTGTTCGTAAGTCGGGTCTTCCTGCACATATCTGAACGGCTCCTGGGCGTTCCCTTCAACTCACACTGATCAGCGTGAGATTGTAGTAAAGCAACCCCATTGACCAAGAGCGTGAGGGGGCCTTGACTAACCAGAGGGCCGTAAAATGTTGCCGCTGTTACTTCAGCAGGAGCTGGTCAGATGTCCCAGGTGTAGTGGCACTATTGTAATCAAGAGACTTGTGTGTGGGCAGGTTTGGTTCATCACGCAGGCACCCAATATGCGGGAGATTCCCACCGGCATATCAA